AGCTCATTTTCTACATTTGTTTGTAGCCCATGCAATATGAACATCGAATGTTTCATATTATAAATGAACATCCTTTTTAATATTAGGAAAAGTTATACACATAGACAAGCGTACAATACATGCAGGTATGAACCACACAGGGACTCACTTTCTCTAAGAAAACGGCCCTTTTAAAAATATGTCATATGGAGCATTAAAGGTACATTATATAGGTAGCGCCACTTGGCTAGCAAAAAAAAGAAAAAATAAAAATAATGATAAAATTATGAACAGGTCATGCAACAACGGGACAAAGTTCAAATTTTTATTTTTATTTTTTCTCCCCAAGATTTACAATTGCTAGGCAGAAAGGTGGAAAAGAAGAAGCCGCTATCTGGGTTTCAATATGCGTAACCTTTGTCATACGAACGATCTTATAAACCTATCTCGGTGGGGTCACCTCCAATTCCTGAGCCATTTTAACACATTTCCTTAGTATTCCCTTTTGCATAGCGAGCCTACAACTGTGGTGCACATGTTAGATAATGCCCATTTAGATGTTGCACTTTGTAGAAATGGTGAAAAACATGTGCGCTATGAAAATTAAAAACTGTCCTTTATTTATTTATTTTTTTTTTTTGCCGTTGCATATGAATAGGTTGGATTCTCCGAAGGGGCCAATCTTTAAAGTCGCCGTTTTACTTTTAAGTAGTCATTGGTGTATGCCCCATCCCATCGATACACATTATCCGTTGGCATTTTTAAAAATGCAACAAAAATTTTATGCGTCGGAAGCTCGGTCTCCTCCAACTGAACCAACATAAAAGGGGCTTCCCTTCTTTGCAAACCGAAACAGTTGAAGGTTAAAATAGAGCGGTATAATGTGAGAAGAGATATACCCACCGCAAACACATTTAAACACCACGGAAAATAAAATGATACAAAAAAAAAAGCGCAAAACATTTTAACAACATAAGGAAGGAAAGGCTAAGCGCTCATGTTCCCTGTATGTAATCCCCATTTGAATGTTTCTTTTTTTTTTCCCTTGCACGTTCAAATTGCCTTTTGGATAAATGCCTCGAGGGAGTCACAAGGGAGGTCTATTCCCCGTCAGTGGAATGAAATGGGGCATGAATGAGCGAATCAGAAAGAGGGGATTATATCACAATAGAAGAGAAGATATATTAACCCCAAGATGGGGATATCGATATGAAAATAGGAACAAGAGCTATTTACCAGATGGCAGCTCCAAGTCCTTTGATATGGACGTAAACAGAGCTTGGCCAGCTGAAAAAAAGCAATGGAATTATTTTTACACAATTAATGAAGCCAGGTATTTATGGCCAAGTATATGTGCACAAAACCCTAACGTTAAAAATTACATTCTGAACATGCTGGAGAATAGTGAAAACAGACCCTTCAGTGGCATTGGACTGGAAGAAGTCCGGAATGAATACAGAAGGAGTAGCAGAAGTTACTCCCCCGTTGGTAGTACTTCCTCCACTAATAACCTAAGCAGTGGGGTGTATGGGAAGAACACCTATTTGAGCAAGCTAGCCAACGAATTTAACAACTCCATCTACCCCCAAATCGAAGTTAACCTAAGTAACAACCTGAAACGGGAGAGAATACAAAGGTTGTATGACATTGTGCGGGAAGAAAATGTGTGGAAAACCACGCAAAAGATAAAAACTGCTCAGAGTGAAAATATATTCCCCTATGTGGATGATAACGCAACCTTGATTAGAGAATTGCCCCTGGCAGAGATTTTGTACACCAAGAGTAACTTGCGCTTGAAGGTTAGGAGGCACCCCAAATGGATGAACGTGCAGTTTTTGAAGAAAAAAATAAAAATCCCCTACCTGTACAGGTACTTGTTTGGACAACGCCAACTTGTGCGCCTCTGTGCCACTTGGGTCTGTTGCCTCTGGGTTCACCCGTCCTGTGCGGCTTCGTCGAGTAGTGAGCGTGCGGTGTGTGCGCGGTGGACACGTTTTCAACGGTTTGCTACGGTTTGCAACCCTTTGCTACCATTTGCCACCCTTTGCATTAGCCCTCCTAATGCCGCTAAACTTCTCCCGTTTTGAAAATATAACATGTCATACACTTTCCCCCCATTCAACAGACGAAGAATCGCAAGGGAGGAATTACAAAAAAAGGAGTTTGGCTCGTTTTTTTAAATCTGTGAGCAAGAAAAACGAAGTGGAGGATAACAAAGAAAAAAAAGGAAAAAAAAGAAAAAAAAAGAAAGGATAAGATATGCCATATTATACGTGTTCATTCATGTTTAGTAGTGTTCACCGAGGCAGAGCAAAGAGGGGACTACTTCTTTTCAAATTCCTGGAGCATCATTTTAGCGCGCTCTCTATGGGGGGGGGTGAAAACAGCGGGCATGAGGCTGCGTACCATAGACGACATGGTTAGATTACACACATAGAATGCACATGTCAAAAGGTTCGCAGTGTTTATAATTTCTTATTTTTCCCGTTTGTACCTTCTACATTCCTGTATCGTCTTGGTGTCCCCCTTTTCCTCAAGGACAGGTTCCTCTTTGGTATTTCCCTCAGAAGATTTCTCTTGGGGGAGATTCTTCTCATCCAGGAGGAATACAAGACTTAGAAAATCTGCAGACTGGTGAGGGAACAATAGACATATTTAGATTATCCCTTTTGGAGTAATTTTTTTTTTTTTTGAGTGCAAAATGGGTATACGAAAGTACCGTAACGTTTGGGAATGGGCCCTTGGGGGAGTCTTCGGCATGCATTATTCGTTCCCTGAGGGTTAAAGGAAGATACAATGGCACGGTGGGACTGTCGAAGTTTGACATGTTGATATTCCAGCAAGGGGTAAAGCAGTATACGCGTGCTCCACCAGAGAAATCGTAACCAATGCAAAGTTAGCAAAACCTTATTATGTTTAACAACGTGATGGCGCTGGTCGGAAGCGAACGCGACGTGTGCACCGTCAGGAGCCTTACGAGAAGTACGCATATTCTTTGCAACCGTATTGCAGGTACTTTAGTTTTTCTATACAGCGCATGAGAAGTCGAGCGAAGTAGATGGACAGCTCCTTCTTGGAGTGAAGAATTTGGTTAATAAGATTGTCTATTTCCTGAAGAGGAAGGGGGTAAAACCGTACGCGCAGGAGATGAGAAGCGGTTGGGACTTTCTCACAAAAAGGTGCAATTTAAAAAAAGGAGTACATTCCTGGTGGTATTTTTTTTTTTTTTTTTTTTTTTTTTTTTTTTTGCAAATGCGCATCTGCATTACGAGTAGGTCTTGATCCCCAAGCGGTTTTTCCTGCCCTATGTTTTCTACTTCCGTCTCGTCATCCGATTCCATGTATTTCATAAAAAGTGAGGAGTAGGACTGATCCTCTGTTTGTTTTCTTTTTCGTTTTTCCCTTTCGGAAAGTCTAAGTTTCATCTCATTTGCATCATTGATACTAATTTTTTGTTTTTCCCTTAGCATGTTGTCTTTGACCTCATTGCTAGTGACTTTATCTTTTTCAAGTTGTCGCACATGTCCAAACAGACCACGCAAAGCCATGGGAATGGAATCTGGGTAGTCGTCAATTAGCCTCCTTTTGGTATTCTTCTTAACGAGTTCGTAGTATCGATGCAGCGGATGGTCTACATGCAGAAAAGGGAAGTTTATCAGGATGTCATTGTTTAGTTTGAGGTAGAACTCCGCGATGTCGCCTTCCTGCAAAAGAAACGGGGGAATTTAGTGGTGATGGTTGGAAGAGGCATAAAATGGATGTCCATCATCTGTGCATTTCTGTATTAACAGCTTCTTGGAGAGTTGAGCTGTATCGGCAAGTATAGCCTACATATGTCGCTATATGTACACACATGGAAGAAGACACTTTACCGAATTTGCAAACATAGCCGTGTACTCGACAATCATGTGTTCACGCAAACTTTTTGGAAAACAGACGTTCTCATGGTTCCTTGGAAGGTACGAAGCGAATATGTCTTGCTCATTTGGGTCCAAACAGTCACTGCCATTTTTGTTTGACGTGTCTTTCGTCTGGAAGTGGAGTGGACGGTATTTCACAACGGTTTATTAAAAAAAAAAAATGAAACAACTTCTCTCTCTATTATTGTTTTTTATACCCCCAGTTTTTTACTTGCTCGTTCTAAGATGTACAAAATGGACGAATAGGCCACTTCGCTTTAGCGTAGTGCTGGAAGGGATATAGGGGGAAAAACGTGTGGGGCTGTCACAAAATGGGGGAGTTCCACTCCAGGGCACCCCCTGCGCAGGTGTTTTGCGCTTCTATGCCGGGATAATGCCCGTGAATATTTTCCCTATTTTAGCAACTCCAGCCATGTGAGCCCCCCTTTACTTCGCTGCAGTTTTCTCCTCGCTTACATTCAGATAATTTAAATCGTCCGGGGGGGGTTCACTCGTGAAGTACCTCCTCTTCTTCATGGTTGCTTCCTAAGAGCGGACACGTGAGCCAAACAGGAGAAGCACAAAAGGAGCAAGAAGGGGAAGCTAAGCAATTTAAGCTATACACAATACTGCCATACCGTAATAACGAAAATGTGTATTCTTTTTTTTTTTTTTTTTCTCCATTTCGGTTCATTCATGTGATGGGAAAAATTAAAATTTCCCCAAAGCTGGAGTAACTTGCTTAATTTAAAGCGGAATTGTTAATTTCATTTTGAGTTGAATTTTTTTTTTCTTTTTTTATAGCGATTCAAATGGGAGAAAAAAAACTGAAAAAGAAAAAGCAGTCCCCGTTCTGCCTCCAAACTGTATTTACGCGAATCTACAAAGTCGATTTTTTTTTTTGAGAAGGGGGTTCTTTCAAAACAAGTTTGTCACCGAAGGGACGAGGAGCACATCTGTCCTCTACTTCCCCATGCCTGCGCGTCTTTGTTTGTTCACAATATGTTCGTAACAATCGGAGGCGGAAAAATGAAAAATAGTTCCATTTGTCGACCCAGTATTTCTCCGCACCGTGGCACAAAATGGGTGAACGGGGAGCAGCTTTCGTTTCCCTCAACTGATGGAGGGTCTACTATCCTTTTTTTTTTTTTTTTTATAACCCCTGATTGTAACTGTGCACCTTTTGGACTCGCCCCCATTTTGTATGTACACCGGTGTGAAAATTGGCTTTGCGTGAATTGTGCCAATGGGAAAAAAAACAAAACATAAATAAAATAAAATAAAACAGACTACTTTATACTTCACAGTGGATGAAAATGCATACGCGTAAAACTGCTTCATCCGCTTAATCCGCTTCGTTTGGGGGATTTCCTATGGCCATCCGCACATACGATTCTGTAAAGCTGTTCCTACAAATGCCCACTGCTTTGTTGGCTCCCGCTGTTCTGTCAGGCCGCTGTTCAATTTGACTCATTTCACTCCAATCCACTTGGTTTTACCCCATTTGTCTTTCCAAACCTAGAGCCAATTTTCCAAATTTTTTAGCAAAATGAGGTATCCCTGTTTGCTCTTTTTATCCTTGTTTGTCTTTTCATTTTTTAATTTTTCGGATTGCATGCTGCCGTGGACGAAGAAAAGAAAGGCGGGTAAAGGAAATCTGGGGAGTGGCAACGTGGGGAGGTCTACGGCGGCCTAGCAACAGCCCAAGCTGCAATAGGACAAAATGGCCCAAATTAAATCATATTAACGACATATTTCATTTTAAAAAAAAGGAGCAACTATCGTCTCCCCCGTGCAAGCCGCTTGACTGCAGACAAGCTGATGCGCGCTTAACACGAGCAGAATAATGCACTATTTTTTTTTTTTTTTTTTTTTTCTAGTGAACCAAATGGGCATCATAAAAGGTGTGGTACTAACTTGATTGCTCCAGATCGCTGTTTATTTGCGCCATGTCAGATGATACTCACTAAAAGCTCAATAAGGTGATCCATCCCATTTTAATCATTTTTACTTTCCTTCCGAAAGATATGTCGCAAGAGCTTAGGATCAAGGCCGAACAGCTTCCAACCCCCGAGGACATAGTATGACACGAAAATTTTCTTTTCCGTTTTTCCCCAAACTGATACTTTAGAGTCTCATTGCAAACGCATAGAAATTACGATGTTTATATCTTCCACTCCTTTTCTCATTCTTTAACAAAAAAAACTTTTTTATTTTTAGTCAGCCAAAATTCACAGGTAGAAGTTAATACAATGTGCCGCATTTCCCCGTGTCTGCTCGCAGAGCCGCAAAAAATGAACGTTCTCTTTATGGGAGGAGCATCGGATCGAGTGGTTGTTGAGTGTCTGCGGAATGTCTGCCGAATGTCTGTCGTTGCGCACGAGTCCATTCCCGGACGCCTTTTTGCCACCTCTTTACAACACTTCCCCCCCTGGACACACACACACACCAGAGTGGATAAAGAGGTCATCGATAAGTTAAACAAAGACATCATAGAGGAAGAAAACTTAGACAAGCACAAACCGCACGTCTGTCAGGAACCAGCATACGAGAGGGACTATTCGTACTTATGTCCCGAAGGTGAGAAGTGCAAAAGGGCAGCTAGCTATTTTGTCATGCTTTACGGGCTCTCGGGCAATTTGGCTTCAACACAAAATAGTGGGAAAAGTTATAAGCGATTTTGCGTTCGCCCGGTTGGCCTGTCACATTTGGTAAAATTTTTCCCTTTTTTTTTTTCTGCCCCTATTATCCCTCCCCCGCTTTGTCTGTTTCTCAGACTGGATAAAGAATTCCAATAATCAGTGTTGGTAAGGGGAGGGGGGTTAAACATATCCATGTGCACCTCCCCCCTAGGCATATACACCCACATGCACGACTGGGCGGAGCTACTTCATCGCAGGGGCATAGACTACGATGGTCACTGTGAATCGCTAAAATATTTCCAAGATTATTCTGCAGAGGAGAAAAAAGAATTTGTAAGGCTACATCTTTATGGGGGGGAATTTTGAGATGGTATCTTCTCCCATTTTTTTGTCGTCTGAAAAATGTTACCTGCGCACTTAACTCACTGGTTGAAAATGTTCCTCAACCCAGGAGATGAACTGCTGCGTCTTGTGGCCTAAGCTAAAAGATGAAGGCATGAAAAGAGCGCACAAGAAGGACCTCCTAAGGGGATCGGTTAATCCTTTTAACTAATTAAGCAGAATCCAATGATGTTCCATTTGTTGTTTTGCATTCTCGACTAATTAGTCCGCTCATCATAATATATGAATGTCACTGCACTGCGTGTTTTTTTTTTTTTTGCAGATAAGTTCAAGCAATGGGTTAATAATAAAACCGAAATATTTGTAAAGCGGGAGGTAGGACACACATGCAGAGACAGCTCCAGTGGGTGTAAGTTCGCGAGGGGCAACCTCGTCCAAAGGGAAGAAGAGAACGAACGAGTTAAGCGGACAAACCAGCTAATTGTTTTTGTGCATACCATGTCACTGATTTAAAAGGGAAAGGAAGTTACACACCCCACTTAACCTTTTAACGGGCAGACTTTGTAGCAACTTCAATTTGTTTTTTTTTTTTACACCTGCGGGGGGAAAATCAGTGTAGAAATTTTCCTTCTACCTTGGCTCACGGACGGGGAGGTGTCAAGCGGTTGGTTAAAAAAAAAGTTGTTAAGCTTATGTGACCCGTTCGCGATTGTTCTGTTGGGAGAAAGTCCTTCCCCCATATGGCAAAAATGCTCAGGCGCAAATGTAGCTGCTCACAAATGAAGGGCATCATCCTCTTCGCCCACGCTTGGCCACACAAAGGTTTACACATCCAAACTTGCGAAGAGTAACCCAACGGGTGCAACAGCAATGATACCCTAGGGGAAAAAGTTGGAGAAAACACAAAAAAATGATAAAAAAAAAAAAAAAAGGAAACTACTCCTTTTGCGAGAAAAACCTGCATTTTACGCGGAACCTACACACGCGCCGCCTAACTAAAATTCAGCTTGAGGTTGACCTTGGGCTGGAACTTGAAAAAGGGGACCTTATCGCCCTGCTGCTGCACCTCGGGGGTATCCCTGTCATTGAGCAATCCAAAGACGAAGGTTAGCATGCCTAAGTCGTAAATAAAGTAGCTCTGCAAATTTCCGTATCCACTTTTTCTAACGAGGGAAGTAAGGGTTAAGTTAAAATTAAGCGACGGGTTAAACCACTTGTTCTTCTTGGACAGTCCCTCTTGTGCCATTTTTTTCTTCTCAAATAATTTCTTTAAAGGGCTCTGATTGAGTTGGAAATAATTATGTAGAGTCTGTTCAACCTTTTCACCAAACTGTTCTTCAAATTGTGTAATCATGGAGTTGCTAAAAATGTCATTTTGCTGATTAAAATATCCGGCTGGAATTAACTTGTTAACTTCTTTCTTGAATGTGTTAACTAACGATTTTTTTAATTCTGCAATTTTGTCGTCCTTGTTCCCGAGTAAATCCTTATCCCTCTTAGTATTTTGCTCATTTAAAATGGCATCTTTCCCCTTTTTAATAATTTTCTTTTCAATAAGGACGATCTGCTTAACTATCTGTTTACGTATCAGTGCCAAAAACCGCTGCTTCAGTTTCTCCAAAATGCTGTCTTTAAACCTCGTGCCGGTCTGTTCAAAAGTTAATATGTGAAAAAAGAGCAGCAAATTTTTTATCAAGTCGGAAGAAAGCTGACCATAGTTTGGAATGACCTTCCCCTGAGTTATTTCCTTTTCATACTCGTTAATTATTTCATCAAAATGGTTTAGCGTTTTGTTGTACGACTCTTCAATTACGTAAATATTGTAGACACATTTCTCGTTGAAGGGGGAAAAATTTTCAAAATTTCTCATCTCTTTCACCAGATTTGTTAGCTTATTGACGAAAGAGGTGTACTTATTTATGTTGTTTTTTTGCAAAAGGGAAAGGCCGAATTTGTTTTTCTTCATTAAGTGAATGTTCTTCAAATTGGGATATCTTTCTTTTAATTCCTTGGTGAAATGTTCACATAGTATATCTTTGTCCAAGTTTTTTTTTTTTTTTTCCCCACTCGCTTCGGCATTTATTAACACAAAATAGACATGTACATCTTTCGCCTTCTCATTGAGTTGGTTTAAAAAGATTTCCACCTTTTTTGGTAAAACAAAGATAACTGTTTTTTTTTTTCTCTCTTCTTGTTCCCTCACTTTTGCAGAATGGGTCTGCCATTCCGTTTCGTTTTCCTCCTTCCCCATGTCGTTAACTTCGCTGTAGTGTATTTCCTCACTGGCCAATGGCACAATGACGCTGTTGGTCGACTCAACAATGAAGCTGATTAATTTTTTAAAGTCATATATGGTGTTCTCACTGTTCTCATAAAATTCCTTGTTCTGTAGCAAGTCCACATCGAGCACGACATTCAAGTTGTTATTTTGGTCCTTCCCAAACCACACGTCAATTTTTTGTTTAAATCCCAAGTTGACCAAATTGTTTCTTTCAGCCGATATGTTGAATAAGTTTTCCAAAAATTTTCTTTTATGGTACCCTGAACTTCCATAGCAGGAAAAAACATATTTATTTTTAACTGCCGCATTTTTCTCTTGTATGCTGTATTTCTTCAGTGCTCTTATTTTGTCCGTGTAGTCGTTACTGGACATCAGGTTGATGTAGTCATATTTCTTTGTCGACTTCGCCTGGAAATGGTGTGCGCAAAGGAGGACCAGGATCAGAACGACTACAACGGCGCTTACCATTGCAGAGTTCGCGCGCCAGAGAGACGGTGTGTTCCCTTACAAACCGATATACAGGCATGTGCATATGGAGCGCAGAGGGGTACGTGTATATGTGTAGCGCCGAGAAGGGCGAGCTATTTTGGCTAAACGGTTGATGAATTGCTGGTGAACTGTCGGTGAACTGCTGCTAACTACCGCTAACCTCTCCTAACTGCCGCTAACCTCTCCTAACTGCTGCTAACCTCTCCTAACTGCTGCTAACCTCTCTTAACTGCTGCTAACCTCTCCTAACTGCTGCTAACCTCTCCTAACTGCCGATAATATTTTTCTTTTTCCACTCAGCAAAGCCTGACAGTCGCAAATTCCCGCAAGTTACTACGACGTTAAAACTGCAGCCATAAATGCCCCTTCTCCGCGCCGCTTGGTGGCTGCATCTATGGGCTGTTTTCGTTGCAATTTTGTGTTTTTCTTTTTGCATCAAAATTTGGTGCTCCTTTTTGCGTCAAAATTTGGTGCTCCTTTCTGCAGCAATTTTTGGTGCTTCTTTCTGCGGCAATTTTTGGTGCTCCTTTCTGCGGCAATTTTTGGTGCTCCTTTCTGCGGCAATTTTTGGTGCTCCCTTTTTTTTTTTACGTTGCTTCTTTCCATCGCCTGCAACTGATTCTTACGGAGAGGAGCAGCCGAACGGTCAGAGTAAAATCATTCGCAGAAAGTCCTCTACATTTTGGTGAACGTGCAAACGGAAACCGCCACACATTCTCGAGCCTATTTAAATGTACCTACTTAAGCACCAACGTTTGTTCGCTTTTGTAAGCATGTGCACATGAGTAGATGGTATGCCAATTCCCTCCCATGGAGGCACAAAAAAACGATACCGCGCTACATGCCGGAGAACGCCTCTCACCGGCTGCCGCTTCCAGATGGGGAAAAGGTGCCAAATGAATGCCGTTCACAAGTAGACCATATACACTTCGTAAACTTGTTCCGTTTTACATAAACACCAAATCGATAATTAGCGTAGCTGGCATGATAGAATAAAAAGGTGCAGGTATTTGTCTCCATTTCGCGGTTTTCACTCTTAAGCATTGCACACCTAAGGGTTTTTTTTTTTAAGCGTAATATTTACAATTCTCCGCACGTTCAAGTGGTAGGGGGAGCTTTTGCTGACGGGTGCCTCAAACGCGTGGCTTAGTCTAATACACGTTAGTGAATTCTGCAGGGAATGCAAACTACAAACTAAGTGTAGATTTTCCTCCACAAAGAACGACTGCCCTGATATGTCATCAGCAAAAAAAGACATAACTTCTTGCTGCTCCCTTTGAGTTGCATTTGCGTAAACGCTGGACATTTCTTTTACGCTGACTTTATTTCATTGCGTTTTATTTTTGGATAGAATAGCAAAAGTGGTTATCTGTCACCAACGGTTTGAGAAAAAATTTGAGGTAGCCAATTTTCCAAATCGACACAAATTCACTTCTCTCCTTTTATGCGAGAAAAAAAAAAAAAAAAAGTTCATTAAATTAATCCAATTTTCCATTTTTAAAAAGAAAATGTGTATCGAACAGTGCGGTATTTGCAAGGCTTACCCGTATGTCAAGCAAAGGACATGTGTGCAAATTGCACAACTCCCTATTTTTGAGTACCCATTACATATACCGCTTAAGGGACACATTTACAAATATTTACCTCAAAATGGGGAAGAATCCGTAAGCGTTTGTCCATCTAGTAATAATACAAAAATGTATAGTAATAATATAAAATTGTATAGTAATAATGCAAAATTGCATAGTAATAATACAGAATTGCATATAATTGGAGCTGACTATAAAGCAGAAAAAGAAGAAGAAAAAAATTGCTCATAAAGTGGCACTTATTATAAAAATAAAAAGTACACGTTGAGATAGGATCATTTTGGGAAAAAAAAAAAAGAAAAAAATCCAGAGAAAAATAAAAATGAACAGCTCACCGGAAAAGTTTGCAATTGCAAAGGAATGTCACACGTATGAAATGCCATTCTTTTTTCTTAAAAAATGTTTCCTCTTTTTTAACACATTTTGAATGGAAATTTTACGAAAGCTAAAAACTGGATTCCCTACTTTTTAAGTCGAGAGGAACTGGAGCGTATGAACCGTATGCGTGTCCGCGCCACGCGTGCCAAACGAAATAATCAAACAAAGGAGCGGACGAACGAATCAACGAACAAATAAATAAATGTACACATATGCAAATACACACACGTGTATATTTCCTTCTTCGCATGCGCATGTGTTACTTATACATGTACACCCCTCCACCTTTACTCCCGCACGGACGTGCAACAGCTCAGAAATAACCCGCTAAAATGCCGAAAGTGACCGTGAAAAAAATTCACGCAGTTGCCAAGTGGAAATGGATTGGGTCGTCCGTAGACAGTGTGTGTGCAATTTGCAACAATGCCTTGGAAAATACTTGTACGAACTGCATTAGGCCAGGAAATAGCTGCCCCCCTGCATTCGGAAAGTGTGGCCATCATTTCCACCTCCATTGCATGGAAAAGTGGATGAGGCAAAATAAATTTACGTGTCCATGTTGTAGGGCAGACTGGTATTACGAAACGCAAGAATTAAACTGACGAATGGGGGGAGCCGCAGGAAGAAGAGGAAGCTGGGCGTTCCAATTTCGTTGCCCCTGCGGTAGCGGCGGCAGCTGTTGACGTTACGTCACCGTTTTAATTGCCTTCAAATGTGTAGGAATGCATTTTGCAACCACATTTTACGCAAGTTTTACCATTTCTAATTTTTCTTATACCATTTTTTAGTTTTTTTTTTTTTCCTTCCGTTTGAAACTTTTATGAATAAACAACCGCGTATACACACCTGTGGACATATTCCCCTTTTTATATATCTTCTTTACCCCAGACGAGATAAAAAGGCATGAACGCCTCAGCAGCAAATTTGCTCGCCTTCTGACCAATTCTTTTTAAGTTCATTTTAAAAATGTGTTGCAGCCTTCGCGTAAATTTTGTTCATCCCTAACTTTTCCTTCTTGCGGCGAAAAGGACGGTACACGCTGAAAGGTCAAAATGGAAATTAGTATTTTCTTTGGGACACCTATTTGGAGCTTTTTTTTTGTTCATGCCCCCAATTTAGAAAAGGCATACGCGCAAAGGTTTCTCCATTAGTCCGGCTCATCGAACGTGCACATCAACCGGAAATATGCGTCAATTTAGTCACTCTCATGGGGCATAATTTTGGCCTCAGTTGCACACTCCTCGATACATTCGCGCTGTAAGGTCTATTATGAAGATGGGTACAGATAATACGGCTCAGGTGATTGAAATAGGTTGGGAAATCACAAAAAAGGAGAAAAATAAATCGAGACATACGGTTATTCCTCGGACCTTTTGCTTTCTTTTTTCTTTTTTTCAAAGTAGTACCTTTTTTCTGCCTCCATGTGGCGAACATTTCGCGCAAGCGTCGGAATGGGAAACAGTGCCACAGTGATATCCATTCAACCGCTTAACCAGTAACGTGCTAAACCGAAACTGTTTCTTGCACATGCCCGGAGAGTAAATTTTTCCTCATCAGAAACGTGGCGAATTATTTGCACTACATTGCTGCCCAGGGAAATTAAAGACGTTTACTTAATCTGTCATGCTTTGCACAAAGGGTAGCATAACTGTGCCCCAACAGGGTATTTCCTTTTTGGTCATTTTTTGTACCTATAGGCTTATGCGGGGAGGGGGGGGGGTTCCATTTGCGTGTGTAATTCCTTTTTGGAAGGTATGAAGGCCAAAAAGACTAATCCTGAGGGATGAAAAAGTTGATGCGCGTCGAAAATCACCCCTCCCTCCACAGGTAACGTACCGCTTAAGAAAATGCACGTTCGATTTATTGGCGGTATATTTTGCTTATGCGTACACACATGTGTGCATTATGCTGTCTCTACCATTTGGTCGCTTCCCTTTTTTACAATTAAGAGGTGTGTTTTATATTTGTTACACGTTTTTTACCACTACTTGTAAAAAAATAAATGAAAGGTGATCTTGTCTTGGGGGTGAAATGCCTTTTCGCATTATCCTTTAAAATTCTACACCCTCAGAAAATGACGCCTGACGGGAATGAAAACAATGTACTAAGGAGGCAAATGTTCTAACATGTACATAATGCACATACGAATGGGAAACGCAGCGCAAATTGCTCGTAAAACCACAGAAACTCCGCGCGACATTTTAGATGATAGACACATATATATACGCCCTAATGCCCTCAAGCTTGCGCAGCGAGCCGCGCTTCCTAATTTTTCTCTCCATACCTAGGTGTCCCTGCTCCGCTGAAGCAGAGACTGTTTTTGGCAATTCGGTTACGACCACATACAGTTCAGGAATTCGTAAGACAAAGGGATAAAATATAAAAGTGCAATTTCTTTACATTAAATGCACATTAAATTCTGGCGCCAAAAAAATAACAGAAATAATAAATTTTTTTGTAAAGGACATTTTTTCAAGTATACACACACACAAAAAAAAAAAAATGTTTCTTTTGATCCATGAGTATGCAATATGGTACGTTCAAAAGTGTTCGCGTGCCTACAGTGCGTCCCTTCACGTTTGAATTTTCGCATGACGTGAAAAAAAGGTGAGCCTAACAATTTTGGACGTTTTAGCAATAAATGAGCGTAAGTCACAAAATTCGTAGTTAACGCGTTTTTGTTGTCAAGTGGCTTCACGTGGAGCTGGTGAAGCGATGCAAATAACGGCACCTTCGCATGTTAGGTAGTAGAATGCTACTTAAAAAAAAAAGGCTATTATAGCAGCAAACTAGCAATAAAGGCATGAAAAAGTAGCAGTAATAGTAATACACATGCTGTGCCTAATCCCGTGAGAACTCCCTGCCGAAGCATTTGAAACGAAGTCGCGAAGGACAAATGAGGGGGAAAATAAGAATGTACACAAAGGGGCAAACAAACGAATAAGAAAAAGAGCGAGGAAACAGGCAGGACATACCTATCCATAAATGTACCAAATATATATATACATATTGTACACTCATTTAAGAAAAAAAGTAAAAAAAAAAATACTTTTTTTTCTTTCTTATTCGCGTCACTTTTCCTCCTCACATATTTTACTACACCTAAGTTTTTTTTCCTTTTTTTTTTTTTTGGGTTTTCTTTTTTAAAAATTTTTTATTAGCAAAAGTTATAATATTATGCATGCTTGTAAAGGCACATGGAACATTTTTTTTTTTTTTTTTCCTTTTTTTTTTTTTTGGGTTTTCTTTTTTAAAAATTTTCTTTTACTTATGTTTATAAAATTTTTATCATGCCATGTCACTTCATTTAGTTTTGTTAATTAAGGTACCTAAATTTCCCTTCGTTAAATAGAAATTCACTTGTAAAAATGGAGAAATTTTTAAAAAAAGCTAAGTGAGGAATCTCTTAACGCTTTTACACAGAAAGTTTTGAAGTAAAAATATAAGTACAATCATTTCTCTGTTTTGCATGTGCTTTCTCGTATTTGTACGCCGAGAAGTTTTATATGTTGATACGTACATTTTCCAATGGGCATCCAAAGGAGTGTACATAAATACGTAGGAGTGTACGGTACATATATGTGTATGCGTGTACATGGGCATACATAACACATAGTACATGGTCAAGCTTATCGCAGCGCGTACATGCGTTTCCCCATTCCAAAATTTTTAAAGTCTCCCCCTATAGCGCAGCAGTTCGCACGAAGGAGTAACCTTGGCATACACAAGTACGCGCGTCGCCCATGTGTACACATATGCGTGGAAACGTGTGCTTCGCGCTGTGCATACATATCCGCACATCACATGTAAAATACATATGCCTTCGCGTATATGATACGTTCATGCGTGTGTCCACCCGTCCTATGCAACGCGCTTGCCCCATACATAGCGATATACACGCATATATACGTAACCCAAACTCACGCGGCATTTCCCCCACATGAGCATGAGCATACACGCGTTCCTGCTTATGCATACAAAATAACGACTTGACCAGTTGACCGATTGCATTTCCTCGAGTTCACATCCCAAAGCATAGCAGCGATAGGAAGTTCACGATTCATGGAATTTACGAATTCATAATTCCTAAATCATAAATCACTAGATTTCCCTTTTTCTTTTTGCCTTTTTCTCTTTCGCCGAGCACTTTGCATTTCACGTCACCATTTTGCCGTTCGTTTTGCTTTTCCTTTTTCCTTTCATTCGCGTTTCCCTTTTCCTTTTTTTTTTTCTCTCTGGCAAAATTCTCTTCGCACACAAGTTCACGATTCATTTTACTCCAACTCACTTTTTTTTTAATTTTCATAAATAGCATTTTTCTCTTTTTCTCCCTTTGATTATTTTATTTTTTATTGCGTTTTATTTTTTTAATTTTTTTTTTTTTCATTCCTCAGTTCGTTCATACACCTTCACATCATTATTATTTTTCTTTCAATTAAAACTAACAGAATACTCTTGTGTATGTAAAGAAAAGGAAAAGAAATGCGGATGACATGTGTACATATATATTTTATGTTCGCTCGTATGTGTACGTGCTGTGTCATGTACGCATACCTACACGTAGTGTAGGGAACTCGCACGTACGTGTAAACATCGGAACCTGCACCTGACGCGAATGCCTGGTCTCACAGCCCAAGCAGCACACTTTGGTATACAGTTTTTATGTACATGAAAAAGCTGTGCACGAATGTATACCTATTGAATAGCTTCATCGCCTTTTTCATAGATTCATGTGTATATGCGCCTTGTCGTGCGAGCGTTGTATACATGCATACGAATATGCGCATATATTGTATGCGGACTTAGGCTTATGGTTTGCCTTTTCCATGCATACTGCACAAATAACACTTATTTCTTGTGTTCATTCACGTCCTTCCATACATCTGGTAGTTCAAGAGAGAGGAATACATGAGTACGTGCATACGTCCCCATGCGTAAGTATGCATACGTATATGTACCCTTTTTCCATGTAAAATTTTTCGCTTCTCCGGAATGTGTTTACGCACTCGGGGCGTTTATTTTTGCAAACCGGATCCTGCCATCTTTTCTATAGAAAGTAGTAGCAACGCAGCGGAGGTATGCTATCGTATGTTCTACCACATATATATATAGTATAGATATATCCATATGCCTACTCCCCGTCCATGTATTTTTGCCTTTTTTTTTTTTGTATACCTAACTCTTGCATGCGCGAAATTTTTAGCGCCCATTTCCACTTCACATGAGGGATTGCGCATGTATACATAAGCTTATATATGTATAGATCCCTATGGGATGCAACACCAAGGACACTGTTCGAATTATCCGGTATATGCATAGCATGCGTGCGGCCATGATCACATGTGCGTAGTGCGTACAGGTGAGTGAATATGCATACGTAATATGTTGACAGTCGGCACGCTCACCGGTTCCCCCCTTTCACCTGGTACACGTTTTAAGCAATTTTCTTTTTTTTTTTTTTACAATTCATACAGAGCGATACATACGTTTTTGCGTAAATTCATACATGCGAGATAATTATGACCCAAAATTGCATGTAGATGAAACTTTTTTTTTTTTAATTTAATCGTTATATGAATATATTGTATGATATTAACAATTTATGCGTTTGTATGAGTACATATACGAGTAACTTTTTTGTTTATTTTTCTGCTTTCTATTTCGTGTTTTTTATTTTATTTTTTTTTTTCCAATTGGGTAAACTTTGCCAGCGTACGCACGTTCATACATACTTAACATACATGCATACGTACGTTCGTTCGTACGGTCATACAAAAATATAAGCGTAGTTATCATACATAACATTATAGGATAAAATGCAAAGTTTATATAATGAAATAAAATTCAGTCAAATGGGTGAGAAGAGGACTTCACTCGCCAACGTATGACGAACCTTATCGTACATACAACACGTGCGTCCGTTAATACCGCCATCGCGTATGTATGCAGTGAGGTTACTTATACGCCATTACCTACATACCTTGCTCCATACGCGCATGTGCTCACATTTCGCCCCCTTTTCAATTCGTACTTTTTTTTTTTTAATTTCCCACAAAAAAAAAGTCGAGCGTGCACGCGCGCATTGCGAAAACGTGAAATATGTACACGCACCTATGTATATATATGTATATGTGTGTACATGCGCATATATTCACGTATATATATATTTTTTTTTCTAAACTTTTAAAAAGCCGCATTTCCCGCATCCCCTTGCTGCCTCACAACTCGTGTCGTGTGTGCAAGACCCTTCCATACTGACGTGTGTATGCGTACCCATACGCATTTGCGTGTAGATATACTTGCGTACAGAGTGCGGACTGTACGCTTCCATACCAAATCTCTCTGCATATATACACATACATACACGCGTCCGTGTCCATCGGGCGTCCCCGTCTCCTTCACGAGGCGCAGACGCCCCCATCGCCTCGTTGTTTCGTGCTCCGCGTAACTCTTCTCCCTTCATGTACGTCTACCTTAAATGAATTATTATATGCACATACAAAGCATAGAGCTTACCGGGTAGAGGACATATGTGCATGTGCGGCGCCCATGGTGTTTATTGAGAGTGATTTGCGCACGAGCAGAACGCATACGGATCGAGCGTGCGTTGCGCGCGTGTCAGTAGCGTACACATATGTATCACGTCAATCGGGACTGCTCGTGCGCATTCGTGTAAAGTCAGAGGTATAAGGTTGTTACATTCAGCACGTACGTGTAAGTATATACACGCACACACATAAGCAAACACGCAAGCACGAATCCCTGGACGTGCACGTACGCTTATATATATATGTCCCAAGGGACGTCCCCGCACCCCGACCGTTAAAATGAGAATAAGAAAAGGATGGTGTACATTGTGTCGTGAAAACTTTGAAGATGGAGACGAATGCATCCAGTGCAAACAATGTAAGAAGAGGTTTCACAGGGAATGCCTGCAGGCAGAAGGCCTAATTGACAACGAAGGTTTGAAAGATACAAAAAATTACTTTTGCTATGACTGCATGAATGAAGATGATGAGATACCAGAAAATGAAGATAGGTGTAAAATATGCCGAGAAAAATCGCCCAATTTAATTTTATTACTATGTGATGGATGTCCCAATAGCTATCATGTTACCTGTTTAGGCCTGCAGGCAGAACCTGAGTCGGAAAAATGGTTTTGCCCAGTGTGTAAACCGGAGGAACATAAAAATCTGGATGTCAGACGGATGCGGAAAGGATTTGCCATTGAAAATATGAATGGAGAGCACGTAAACTCTTCCACATGTTATGTATGCCAGAGACCGGGGAAATTACTTGGCTGTGATTTCTGCCCCAATTCATTTCACCCAACATGCTTGCCTGATCTCGATTTTGATAATATATCAGATCAGTGGGAATGTCCATGTTGCAAAAATGAAGACCCGTTACTAAACCAGGGACATAAGAGGTGGACGAAACATGAAATCCAGGACATTATGAAAAAAAGACAAAGAGAGCTAGGTTTCTGGAGATCGAAAATCATAAAGTACCGAAATCGATTTCTGCTAGCACATAGGAAAGATTTACAACCCTTTGTGAATCCCAAAGTCTTTTCAAACCTTACCAAAACGTTTAAAAATGATTTTTTCAACTCGAGGAGCAGCGATACTAGTGCGTACAGCAGTGGAGGGAGAAAAGGAGGGAAACACAACGACTCGGATAGGAATTATCGTCAGGGGAGTAATTCCAGGAAGGATGTAGATATAAATTCGAAAGAGTTCGACGAATATATTTCATCCCTTGAAGATGAAGCGAATGAAAATGCATGCAAATTTATCGAATCTGTATTTTTAAGTGTTTACTATCCGAATGGACGGAAAATCGAGCGGCGACCACTGGTGGATAATGTGCAGTTAAAGCCGCATCAGGAGGACGGTGTCGAATGGTTATTAAAGTCTTTCCTCACAGGAGGAGCTATCTTAGCAGATGAAATGGGACTAGGAAAAACCATACAAACTTTGTGTTTTCTGTCATATTTAAAATGTAACAAAATCGATGGTCCTCATTTGATCGTCGTACCTTTATCCACCGTGGGTAATTGGCTCAGGGAGATTCATAGATTTACTCCGCATCTTACGTGCATCAAAATATGCGGTTCGAAAAATGAGAGAACTCATGCAAAAGAGGATCGACTAGCCGAGAAGGGCCTATACGACTTGTACGTAACTACCTACGAAACGGTAAAAAATGAAGAGGAGTTCTTCGTGGAAACCATTCCCAGGTGGCAATGTATAGTTCTGGATGAAGCCCATAGGATAAAAAATCAAAGTGGGGCCATCCGACACTCGATGGATAGAGTCGTCGGCAACATGCGATTGTTGCTCACGGGGACTCCTTTACAAAACAATTCAGCGGAGCTGTTTACTCTCATCAATTTTATGTTCCCAGATATATTTAAAAATTCAGAAATTATCGAGCAGGCCTTCATGAACGCATCCCAGCAGAACACTGCCGCAGGGAGTAGTCAAAGTGGCAGTGCAACCAACAATCAAAAAAGTTATAACAACATGAAGAATAAAAATAATAAGGATGAGAAAAATAGCCAAAAGGGGGACGCGGCAGGAGGAAGTGGATCCAAACTTAACGTCAACATTGGAAATATTGATCTCAAGTCGGCCATCAAGGAGGAGGATCTAAAAGCTATTCGATGTCTTTTAGACAAAGTTATGCTGAGAAGATTAAAAGAACAGGCTATCACATTGCCGAAAAAGATTTTCCATGATGTGTGGTTACCCTTGGGTAGTCTGTCTGCTCACTGGTATAAGAGGCTTCTGGACATTCGATCCATGGTGGAAGAAAAAGTCAGTGTGAAGAAGTTACTCGGGCTTGTGATCAAAATGAGAATCATTTGTGGCCACCCCAAAGGAATAGTTAGTCGATCCTCCCAAATGGAAAAACTTTTTGCATTCTTCGAAGAAGAGAGTGAAGAAGTAAAAGAGCAAGTAAAGAATGATGCGTTAAAGTTGAAGCACATATCTGGAGAGGAACACATCGAGTCTTCCTCGAAGCTTGTCTTCATCGACAAGCTATTGTGCCAACTGCATTACGAAAATTGTAAATATGTTAAGAACTACTCGTCCAGTTTTGATAAGCACAAGAAGGAAGTTGCTGCCTACAGATATCACAAAATTCAGGAACAAAATAACGCCCAGAAGAAGAAGAGAGAATATTCAGGGAAGTTTAAAAAGATCGAAGCGCTGGAAAACAGCCCTATGTTTATCGAAATTCTCAATCAGGGCAAATTTGATTTGAAACCCACCTCCGAAAATGAAGATATGCTTAAAGGCTTCATGCACCCCGTGGCCGTTGATAATGAATGCCCTTATAAAAAAAAAAGGTGCATCTATGATAAGGTCAGAGAATATATCAAGAATAATGCCGCCAATGGTGATGGGAAATCCATTCGAAGAAGGACCAATATTTTGAAGCATGGAAATCACTCTTATAATCTGTCCGATTACAACTACCGGGGCAACTCTCGTCATGGTGGTACCAACAGAAAAAGGGTCTATGATGAGAATTATCTGTCCAATGAAGACCCCGATGAGGAGGGGGAGCAGCAGGAGGAGGTGCGCAAAAATTGCAAAAGTGACAGTGACGATGACCCTGAGGAGAAGGAGGATGACGTCTATGATCAGGATAATGGCGAGGATGAGGAGCAAGAGGAGGACAACCCGAAACCGAAACAATCCAAGCAGCAGTCGCAGGGGGAGAACGATAAGGAGGAGGACGACGAAGATGATCAAGAGACTGCCCATGATAAGGATGACGAAGATGATCAGGATGACGACGAGGATGATGATAACAGCGGCAAAAATAAGGACAGCCATAAGGGAAACACAAAAGAAAGCACCAACACCCAGTTCGATAGCAACGAGGAGGTAGAAGAGGAGGATGACTCGGACGAGGAGAAGGACGAAGCAGGGGAAGAATACCAATGCGATGAGGACAAAACGGATATCTGCGCGGCTCAGCCCCGTGTCGACGTGAAGGACGAACCGAATGACCACACGAATGACGATGCGAATGATAAAGCCCATGATATCGTCACCCTCGGGAAAAACTGCAAAATGATGAACATAAAGGAGTTCTTCAAAACGGAGAAGAAAGATTCATCGGACAGCTTGGATAAGTCAAACGAGCAGTCGACGAAGGTGTCTGATAAGGGCGATTCTAGAAGGACCCACCTGGAGGACGCAAAAAAGGAGGAAGAAGACGACGAAGAGGCGGACGAAAACATCTATGCGCACAGCAAGATCGGAAGCGAGGAAAAGACGAAACATATGGATGTACTGATTCCGAAGAAAGAGGATGGCGTAGTAGAAGAACAGGTAGACCAACAATACGCAGCAGAATATCAGGCAAACGGAGAAGTCAGCCCAAAGGATAATCACCAAAGCAGCATATGTGCCAATGATGGGAAGGAGGACAATGGAGCGGAAGACAAATCGGACAAAGGAGAAATCAAAATGCACAAAGTGCTAATTTTTACCCAGTTCCAGTTGGTATTAGACGAGTTGGAAGAATATTGCAAATACAGGTGCTGGAAGTATATGCGGCTGGACGGGTCAACAAACAAACTGATAAGAGAGTTGGACATTAGGGAGTTTAATCTAAGTGACAGCATTTACTTTATTTACCTAATTAGCACGAGGGCAGGAGGACTGGGAATAAATTTGACGGCAGCGAATCATGTAATTATGTATGACGAGGATTGGAACCCTTTTATCGATCTACAGGCAATCGATAGAGCCCACCGTATTGGCCAGAAAAGAGAAGTGAACGTGTGGAAACTGATGACGGAGTGGACTGTAGAAGAAAGAATGGCATTTAGAAGAGAACAGAAATTGAAGTTGGACAAGCTTGTTGTTCAAACACAGGACGATGAAGATATGCTAGACAATTTTGAAGAAAAACTTTCCTCAGATGAGATTAGGAAGCTAATGTTACATGGGAAGGCAGCCATACAGAACATGGACGTGGAAAACACGAACAGTTACCCGCTGGAATTTTTCATAGAGAGGGGAAGAAGAAAGCTGCCCATTATTAACGGGGTCGACTTAGAGAAGGAGGAAAAAACTACCATAGAGCAAGAAGTAAATAATAATAACAATGGGGCAGAAACGGGAGATGGAAACATTTGTATACAGAAAGGTAGAGGTGGTGGAAATGGGGAAGACAGCGACGTTGATGACGAGGAGAGAGCTGAGAACGATGATGATGAAAACGGAATCGACATAGATGAGATTATGATTGATGAGGCGCAAGAACTCGAAATGGGACTCAACACTGGTAATAACATGAATGATGGTAGTCCACTCGACGAAGATGGAAATGACCAAGTGTACGTCACAGGAGGGAACTCCAAATCGAAGGGAGATCTTTTAAAAGATGGCAATGCGGCAGGAGGAGGGGCTGGAGGTTCCGACACGACTTTGTGGAGATCCGTAAGGGAAAGAAAGAAGCCGCAGAATATGTACACACCAGAGTACTGGGGAAGAAAACAAGAAGTGAAACAAATCAAGCACGAGTACCGATGCTTCATTTGTAATAACACGAAAAATTACAAAACGGTGGTAAAGGATCGAAACAATAACGACATCGAAATTGACTACGGAGATATGATAAACTGCTTTCGATGCCCCAAAACATATCATAAGTTATGCGAAGGGATTAAGGATGAAAATGTGAAGAAGACATGGACCTGCAGCTGGCATGAATGCTGCCTTTGTTTTAGAAAATCATCTCAGTGTGGTAATTTACTAATCCATTGTGCCACGTGTCCCACCAGTTTCTGCTATAATTGTTTCCCCCCAGATTATGTACGCTACTATGTTGGTGAGGAGTATTATCACAATTTACGCCAGAGGGGAGTAAACTTCACGCCGCAGAACTGGGTGTGCTTTCTCTGTTCCAAATGTAAGGCGGTGGAGGAACAGAAGAAACGAAGAAAGATGACAAAGGAAGAAAGAGAAAACGAGAAGCAGCTACAGAAGGAACTGAGAAGCCAACTCCATGACAGCAAACAGGAAGAATTAGAAGCGAAGAAAAGAAAGAGAGCACAACAAATTGAAAGAGACAAATTCATCATAGAAAATAGAAAGCGAATAGATGCCTTGGATCAGAAATATGAATCACAACTGAGAAGTGCATATGAAAATTTATTTCCTGTCAATTTTGTGAAAGAATTAGTTAATCGAATTGAACATGCCAAAATGCTGAAGCAGAAAGGAATTGAAGACGACAACAAGGAAACGAACAAAAAAAAGTCCACTACATTTTTGCATACGAAATTGCCTCATAAGCTTCTTGTCCTTTGTGAAAATTGTAAACTTCCTTGCCATGCCAATTATAAGTACCCAGGACAGTGTTGCTACCCATTGGAACTGGACAAATCCTACTTCTACGCGAACACGTCTTTTAACCAGTCTGCCAATAATAAGGATGGTGCCCCTCCCCCCTCTGGGGGAAGCACTTCTGACAAAAGAAATGCTCTAAGTGGTAAAGACCCCTCCTCTTCTTTTTCTTCTGAATTTAAGGAGAAATCGGAAAATAACAATGACGAGAAAGAGGCATCCAACAATGTTACAACGAAGGAGGAGGAGAATGAGGAAGACTTGGAGAAGAGAACTCTATTTTTCCCTCAAGGGGTATGCTCCCCTCACATGACGAGTAGCTCAAACAAGGAGGACAGTAAAAAAGGCTACGATTTTAATGGCACAAATTTGTTCATTTTTAAGGGAGCCAAGAGTGTAGTGACGAGTGGAGATGAAGACACCACTGGTAGGTCTGACAAACATGGAGGTGGTGCCATCCAGGGAAATCCCAGCGATAACACGTTGAGCAGAAAGGTGATCAAATTTGAAGCGGATCAGAATCATTTACACGATTTTACGCACAGCACCTGTTTTGAGAAAACCGAAAGTAAGGATAATGAGGACGAAGAGAATGCCCACGAGAAGAAGCTAAACATGAGTAGAGGCGTCATAGAAGGGGACCATTTCAACGTGGAGGATAAATTCAACCAAGGGTCCAGTGAAAATGTGAAGTTGATGATTAGCACCATCCTTTCGTCCGATAACAATGGCAGTGATGTGAAGGGAGAGAATAATCTACCAAGTGTAGGAACACCAAACAATAATAACGACACCAGTTCGAAGGGAAAGACAAGACGATTTTTGCGAGCCGTATGTGCCAAGTGTGGAACCGTGCAGCTGGGAAAATTGGCGCACTTTAGAAAGCACTGTGACAAATTAACGGAGGAAGAAAAACAAGAATATGAAGATAAACGAGAAAAACTAAAACAACTTATCGAGTTGTTAAATAAGAAAAAGATACCCGAGGAGCACACAGAGGAGGAGTATAAAAATATGTCTATTTTTAAATTCAAAAGTTTATATACTCAGTTCCAAGATAAGGGAGATAACATTCTGGAAGACTGCATCCGAGAGATGAAGTGGGATGTATTAATATCATCCAAGAAGAAGGTCCTGAAGAAGGAGAAAGAATCTAAACGGGGCAATCACAGTAGTAGCGGCGGGTTCTTTAGCCCTTCAGGCAAAATGAATGATGACAAAAATGAGGACAATCTCAGCAGTGGAGGCAGCTCCATGTTTAAATCAAACCTCACACATCTGCTATACAGCCAACCGCTAATCATCAACTCCGACGGCTCCGACCCCAAGGACATCATAGAAATAAAAAGTGACATAACGGATGAAATGATGGAAAGAATAAACGACGAAATATCATCCATGACTGGCAAGAGAAAAAAATCGGTCAAGAATACCATCAAGAAGATAAAGAAAAAAAAAATGAATGACAGCAACAGCAGCGGCAACGCAGAAGAATCAGCAAACGTAAGTAACGCACAAAAGGAAAATGCAAATAATATGAAGAAACTAAATTATCTAATAAATCCATTTCATGAAAAATTAATTAAAGATATTCACAATACGAATTTTATTAGAGACTCATTTAATGATGATTTTTTACTGAAAGCGAAGGAGTTTCTCAGAGTTACAAAAAAAAAGTTAATTAATAACTCGTTTGTAGAATCTGGTGCCGGCGAGGCAGGAGGAGCACCCGACGTGGAGCTACTCAACTGTGTCGATAAAAATAGGAAGCTGACCCAAACTGATTTAGAAAAATCCATGATTCAGAATTATCTCAATAAGATGAAGAGCTCCCTAAAGAATAGCACCTACTTGGAGAAAGCCATTCCCGGGGATAACATGGTAGCCGATGTGACATATGCCAAATCCCGCATGAAGAGTAATACCAATACGAGTGACGAAAACAAAATAAATCTTACCCCTGAATTGTATAAAAATATGTTTGAAAAGAACACCAAGTATTGTATGTTCACGAATAAAGGTTCCACGACCTCCACCACGGCCAGTCCCAACATCAAAGACATGGCAGCCTCTTCCCTTTCCCATTCGGTGAAAGGCATCGATAAGGCAGAAGAATTTACCAAACACCTTCAGCACAACAGAAGCAGCAATTTTGCCACCATTAACGACTTCAATGTTGACATTTTTAATATTAACAAAAATATAAAATGTGAAGATATAGAAAAGAAATTGCTAAACCTTTGTGCGAATACCAACTTGATGAAAAAAAAAATGATGCAAGCTGATAGGCATGAACTCAACCAGGAGAGAAGTGCATCCCTCAACATGGACTCAAGAACGAGTTTTCATTTTAACAAAAGCGAACCCTCCTACCAAAAAGTCACCTCCTGTGGTGTGGACGGAAATGTGGACTATGACATAAAAAAAATTACCAGCTCGTCCGAGCTCTGCGGAAATAACAAGGTGCAGGAGTACATTCTCTACCGCAGGAAGAAGCCCAGCAACAGTTCCAGTGTCGGCGGCGAGAAGAGCAGCGCGGGCAACGCCAAGGGTGGCACATCGGGAAGCGCCAGTGCTAAGGGTCTCAGCAATGTGAAGAATCCCGTCATTATCAGAACCTCCAGCAACTCCAAAAGTCCCGGAAACACGAAAAGTCCCGTCAATAATAAAAGCCCAAGAAATGGCAAAAGCCCAGGGAATAACAGAAGCCCAAGAAATGCCAAAAGTCCCAGTAATGCCAAAAGTCCCAGCAATACCAGAAGCCCCGGCAACAGCAAAAGTCCCAGCAATATCAGGAGCCCAGGAAATCCCAAAAATTTCAGCAATGCCAAAAGCCCTGGAAATTCCAGAAGCCCCAGCAACTCAAAAAGCACGACCAATGTGAAGAACGCAAGCCGCATTAGCACCAACAACAGTGACAACAGAAGTAGCCAAAGTTACAAGGCGAATAAGGCACACGACGAGTATATTACCAGCAGAAACAGCCCAGGTAAAACTCTCCCTCAAGGCAACACCAACAAAATAACCACCATCAGTAGCGAAAACATCTTGCAACACCTAAAGTTAGATGACGTCAAAAATTTTATCATGAGTGCGGAGAGAAACAAGAGTGATAAGCTCCCCCCGGAGGTGAACTGAACCAGCTGAAGGAAAAGGGGTGCGACCCGGCAGTTATTTCTCATCCGCTGTAGAGTATGCATTTGGGTAAAGCTGTACGTTGAGGGGGTGGAATGAAGCAAAGTAGACGAGAACCACGTCACAGAGATCATACAAAAGATGACGCCCAGGAGATATTTTGCTAAGGGTGAAGAGATCGAACCAGCGCGAATGACCAGTATATTTACACCTCCCTAAACTGGAAATGTCTGAGGAAGGTCCCCCTAAAAGTGACTATCACCCCGTCCCGCTAAAGAAAAATAAATCGAATAAAGGAGTAGGCCATTGTTTCGTTTTTACGGCACTACTTCTGTGCAATACGAGAAGAGGTTATTTAAGAGAAATAACTGTGGAAGGCCTTTTTTTTTTTCTTTTTTTCAACGGACAAGGCGAACAATTGGCTAGTTGAACATAGAAAATGTACAGCAATTTTTTATCCCCATATGGACGTTTGGCACAGCACAAGCAATAAATTAATGTGTGCAACTCGGCTTGGGGACTGATACAGATTAATCACATCTCACACAAGGAGAAGATATATTCCCCCTGACGGCATTTCCGCTTATTTTTTATTTCCTCCATTTTTTTATAGGGAAAAAAACTTATACATTATTACTTAAATGTATATTGTGCCTCGGTGTGTACTCGCATCACCAGCATAACGTACTTCCACCGATATGCAGAACTTGACGTTGCCTTTAGCCGAGATGTCCTCTCGAAAGCCGTTCACGGGAGCATCTCGTGTATACACCCCCGCACAATTACATTCCTGCGAAGCATATCGTGCGTGTATGTAGTTATTTGCACATTTATGTACGCACCTATGTATGCAACTGCATATATATATATGTATATGCGCGCAATGCTCTCTCTACAGTTTTTAATGAACTCTCCACCCCTTTCGGAGCGAGCATCCGGCAGGGAGCAGCGAACATTTGTGCATCCGTGTGTGTGTGCATATGTGTATGTAATCATGTACACAGACGTGTGACCTTTTTTTAAGAAAATAGATGCCAATTTTTTTTAAATGATTTTCTTACTTTTTTTTATTACACATACCCTTCTATCAACCCCCCCTTGCTGTCATTTTTTTAAAAGAAAATGGTTGCTTCTAACTGCGTGTTTTTTTTCTTTCTTTTTTTTATCCTCCCTTTTTTCTTTTTTTTTCCCATTTTCCCCATTTTTTTCGTTTTAAAATGCAAAATAGGATGTTTTTTTTTTTTTTTTTTACATTTCATCATGTATATATTATATACCTAGACATATTTGCATTCGTGTGTGTATTTGATTTCGATGATACTTCATCAGTTATTGCGTGTAAAATTCATGGGAAAAAAAAAAAAAAAAGAGATTGAAAGAGAGGAAGTCTGTATACTGTGTTGCAAAATATACAGCGAAAAGGAAAAAAGAAAAAAAAAAAATACAACCCCGCACACAGATGTGTGTGTAGAGAAGGCATATAGACATATATATGCTTATGCGTCACGCGTCGTCATGCACACGCGTTGTACCACGCTCCCATTTTTTACAAGTAAATCCACCCACCAATTTTGAATATATATGTACATATATGTGTATAACTCTTACCCCCACGAATTTTTTAATTTAAAGAAATTAAAGTGTAAATTGGATTTAGCTGATCAAGTCGAAGGCGTTGAAGTAGGCGTACCTGCGGAGGAGTTGCATCAGCACGTGGGGAAAAAAACATTCATGTGCATTGTGTTTGTTTCGGTTTGTAGTGCGTTCAAGGGGTGCTTTCAAGGGGATGGCACATATACTGCCAAAAGACCCGCATGAAGCAACTTCGAAGCAGCGCGTTGCAACTGCCCTGGTGCAACCGCTTCGTACTCCCCGCTCCTCATTTGGCATGCGCTTACTGAGAGAAAAGGCAAAATAGAATTCGGTAATACACGAACTGGGATCTGTAGAGGTACATCAACCTAGGGGGGGGGGAAAAAGGAAGGGCAACCATAAATATCAACTTGGTAAAGAAGTCCCCCTTTTCTTCGCACACCTATACCCCATTCCATGCTCGCACCGTAGAAGTAAGACGGGATTAAACCGAAACGTCAGAAATCTAGCCGAGGTGTAAAAAAAAAAAAAAAAGAATCGTTTAAGCGGCAAATGCAAAATGTTAAATAGGCAAATGTGTCAGGACAAGGCGAAACCAACGAACTGCTCCACCATTGTGCTGGAAAGAAAAAAAAAAAAAAAAAATCTACTTCTTATGTAAGAGAAAGGGCAGGGAAAACATGCCTAAGTATTTAACTATCAAATGGGCCGAATGTATGGTAAGCACTTTTATGCCCATCCGTTTCGACAACAACCTGAATGTAGAGGTATGGAGGTGGGAATTTCTTTTTTTTACGAATGCGTAAAAATGAGCGCACCCATAGTGGTACAGAAAGACTCGCGAGTTGTTCATCTGTGTGCATGGATGGGCGTCGTCACAAACTTGGCATAAAATGACACACCCGTGTGTCTATCCATGGGCAGATATATCTCAGTGCCAACATTACCGCGCACTCCTATGGGTGCTAATATGGTTGGGGTGGCCAGACACTCCGTAGCCGTCAAATGTTAGGACCTAAAAAGGGGCATCAAACACGAATAGCCGCTTATACATACTCACATATGTTTATCTTTCGCCGGCACGCTGTTGCTCCGCTCTTGGGTAATGGCTAAGACGTACTTTTCTTATGTTACACTGTTTGCAGTAGTCTTTTAGGATGTTCGCAACGTGTTTTTCATTCCAAACGGCCGAACCGTCTTGGACATCCGGGTGATTCATAAGTTTGCAGTTGTTTTTGACCCCTCCTAGGTAGGACCAAACATGGTACAATTCCTTTTCTCGGATTTTCCCCTGGCCATAAAAATCGCCATTTGTTAGACAGAGAAGGAAAATCTCTTCTTTTCTTTTCTTATCAAATAGTAATTTTATGGTTGGAAAAAAAAACATAATTTCGTCATCTGGGTGTGCAATTAGAAAACTGACGTTTTCCTTTTCTTGCAACCAATTGAGGAGTTCTTTTTTTCTTTGACTTAGACAATGCCAAATGAAGTAATACACTGCACCCAACAGAAGAACGACGCCCGTCCATGCGCATGCGCATGGGCACGGAAGGTGTTGCATAATCAGCAGCAGCAGTAACCCATTAGCGTGTTTAAAAAGGTCCAATGGGGGGACGTCTTGGCGTGCGAAAAGGGAAAGCAGAAAAGGTGCCCATACGTGACGTTATTTTGCGAGGGGAAAAACACAATTTATGATGCTAGCTGTTGGGGGATGCGGGGCTAATCCATACATGTGAGCGTACGTCGCTCGCTCTAAATGTGTGCGGGGGTAAATATGTTCGTTTGCCGGCGCTTTTTCGTATTTGCAGCATGGCGACTGAAGATTTTGCGGAAATTTTTAAGGTTTCTTCGAGCATCCCTCAAAATGAGGGTTTCCCTTTATTTTTTTTTTATTTTATTTTTTTTTTTTTGTGCGTTCTATCCTTGGGGAATGAGGTGGAAGAATGTGGGGCGACCCCTTTCTACCTTCATGTTTTCACTGTTAATTGGTAATTATAGTGCCACATTTTGGTGAACCACGATGTGCAGTGCGTGTATCCTCTGGTATACCTCAGAGGCAATTTCTCCTCTGCTCTTGCACAGTTAGAGAAATTTCCAAATAAGTGTTCCATGGGGGAAGGAAACAAAAAGAAAAGTCTTAAAAAACGCCTTTCAGTTTAAGAGGGGGATGATGGTGGAACGTAAAAAATGCGGTTCACCGGCAAACGGCGA